CAACACAACAACAACACAACAACACAACAACAACACAACAACAACTCATGAAGAGCGGCATGACCCTCACCCAGGTACCACAACACAACACAACACAACAGCAACAACACACAACACAACACAAGCTCATGAAGAGCGGCTATGACCCTCACCAGGTACCACAACAACAACACAACAACAACACAACAACAACAACACAACAACACAGCTCATGAAGAGCGGCATGACCCTCACCCAGGTACCACAACAACAACACAACAACAACAACACAACAACCACAACAACAACTCATGAAGAGCGGCATGACCCTCACCCAGGTACCACAACACAACACAACAACAACAACCAAACAACAACAACACAACAACAAAACACAACAACAACAACACAAAACACAACAACACAACAACAACTCATGAAGAGCGGCATGACCCTCACCAGGTACACAACAACAACACAACAACAACAACACAACAACAACAACACAACAACAACAACACAACAACAACACAACAACAACTCATGAAGAGCGGCATGACCCTCACCCAGGTACCACAACAACAACACAACAACAACAACACAACAACAACAACACAACAACAACACAACCACAACAACACAACAACAACACAACAACACAACAACTCATGAAGAGCGGCATGACCCTCACCCAGGTACCACAACAACACAACAACAACACAACAACAACAACACAACTCATGAAGAGCGGCATGACCCTCACCCAGGTACCACAACAACAACACAACAACAACACAACAACAACAACACAACAACACAGCTCATGAAGAGCGGCATGACCCTCACCCAGGTACCACAACAACAACACAACAACAACACAACAACAACAACACAACAACACAGCTCATGAAGAGCGGCATGACCCTCACCCAGGTACCACAACAACAACACAACAACAACAACAACACAACAACACAACTCATGAAGAGCGGCATGACCCTCACCCAGGTACCACAACAACACAACAACACAACAACAACACAACAACAACACAACAACAACACAGCTCATGAAGAGCGGCATGACCCTCACCCAGGTACCACAACAACACAACAACAACAACACAACAACAACAACAACACAACAACAACACAACAACAACAACTCATGAAGAGCGGCATGACCCTCACCCAGGTACCACAACAACACAACAACAACACAACAACAACACAACAACAACACAGCTCATGAAGAGCGGCATGACCCTCACCCAGGTACCACAACAACACAACAACAACAACAACACAACAACAACACAACAACAACACAGCTCATGAAGAGCGGCATGACCCTCACCCAGGTACCACAACAACAAAACAACAACACAACAACAACACAACAACAACTCATGAAGAGCGGCATGACCCTCACCCAGGTACCACAACAACACAACAACAACAACACAACAACAACAACAACACAACAACAACTCATGAAGAGCGGCATGACCCTCACCCAGGTACCACAACAACAACACAACAACACAACAACAACACAACAACAACACAACAACAACACAACAACAACTCATGAAGAGCGGCATGACCCTCACCCAGGTACCACAACAACACAACAACAACAACACAACAACAACACAACAACAACACAACAACACAGCTCATGAAGAGCGGCATGACCCTCACCCAGGTACCACAACAACACAACAACAACACAACAACAACACAACAACAACACAACAACAACAACACAACTCATGAAGAGCGGCATGACCCTCACCCAGGTACCACAACAACAACACATCACAACAACACAACAACACAACAACAACACAACAACAACACAACAACAACACAACAACAACTCATGAAGAGCGGCATGACCCTCACCCAGGTACCACAACAACACAACAACAACACAACAACAACAACACAACAACAACACAACAACACAGCTCATGAAGAGCGGCATGACCCTCACCCAGGTACCACAACAACAACACATCACAACAACACAACAACACAACAACAACAACACACCACCACTACCACAACAACATCACAACAACACAACTCATGAAGAGCGGCATGACCCTCACCCAGGTACCACAACAACACAACAACAACACAACAACAACACATCACCACTACCACAACAACAACACAACAACACAACAACAACACATCACCACTACCACAACAACAACACAACAACAACAACACAGCTCATGAAGAGCGGCATGACCCTCACCCAGGTACCACAACAACACAACAACAACACAACAACAACACATCACCACTACCACAACAACAACACAACAACACAACAACAACAACACATCACCACTACCACAACAACAACACAACAACAACAACACAGCTCATGAAGAGCGGCATGACCCTCACCCAGGTACCACAACAACACAACAACAACACAACAACACAACAACAACACATCACCACTACCACAACAACAACTCATGAAGAGCGGCATGACCCTCACCCAGGTACCACAACAACACAACAACAACACAACAACAACACATCACCACTACCACAACAACAACTCATGAAGAGCGGCATGACCCTCACCCAGGTACCAACAACAACACAACAACAACACAACAACACAACAACAACACATCACCACTACCACAACAACAACTCATGAAGAGCGGCATGACCCTCACCCAGGTACCACAACAACACAACAACAACACAACAACACAACAACAACACATCACCACTACCACAACAACAACTCATGAAGAGCGGCATGACCCTCACCCAGGTACCACAACAACACAACAACAACACAACAACAACAACAACAACACAACAACAACAACAACTCATGAAGAGCGGCATGACCCTCACCCAGGTACCACAACAACACAACAACAACACAACAACAACACAACAACAACAACTCATGAAGAGCGGCATGACCCTCACCCAGGTACCACAACAACACAACAACAACACAACAACAACACAACAACAACAACTCATGAAGAGCGGCATGACCCTCACCCAGGTACCACAACAACACAACAACAACACAACAACAACAACTCATGAAGAGCGGCATGACCCTCACCCAGGTACCACAACAACACAACAACAACAACACAACAACAACACAACAACTCATGAAGAGCGGCATGACCCTCACCCAGGTACCACAACAACACAACAACAACACAACAACAACAACACAACAACAACACAACAACAACACAACAACAACTCATGAAGAGCGGCATGACCCTCACCCAGGTACCACAACAACACAACAACAACACAACAACAACACAACAACACAACTCATGAAGAGCGGCATGACCCTCACCCAGGTACCACAACAACACAACAACAACACAACAACAACACATCACCACTACCACAACAACAACACAACAACAACACAGCTCATGAAGAGCGGCATGACCCTCACCCAGGTACCACAACAACACAACAACAACAACAACAACACAACACAACAACACAACAACACAACAACACAACAACACAACAACACCACAACAACAACAACTCATGAAGAGCGGCATGACCCTCACCCAGGTACCACAACAACACAACAACAACACAACAACAACACAACAACACAACTCATGAAGAGCGGCATGACCCTCACCCAGGTACCACAACAACACAACAACAACACAACAACAACACATCACCACTACCACAACAACAACTCATGAAGAGCGGCATGACCCTCACCCAGGTACCACAACAACACAACAACAACACAACAACAACACATCACCACTACCACAACAACAACTCATGAAGAGCGGCATGACCCTCACCCAGGTACCACAACAACACAACAACAACACAACAACACAACAACAACACATCACCACTACCACAACAACAACTCATGAAGAGCGGCATGACCCTCACCCAGGTACCACAACAACACAACAACAACACAACAACACAACAACAACACATCACCACTACCACAACAACAACTCATGAAGAGCGGCATGACCCTCACCCAGGTACCACAACAACACAACAACAACACAACAACAACAACAACAACACAACAACAACAACACAACAACAACAACAACTCATGAAGAGCGGCATGACCCTCACCCAGGTACCACAACAACACAACAACAACACAACAACAACACAACAACAACAACTCATGAAGAGCGGCATGACCCTCACCCAGGTACCACAACAACACAACAACAACACAACAACAACACAACAACAACAACTCATGAAGAGCGGCATGACCCTCACCCAGGTACCACAACAACACAACAACAACACAACAACAACAACTCATGAAGAGCGGCATGACCCTCACCCAGGTACCACAACAACACAACAACAACAACACAACAACAACACAACAACTCATGAAGAGCGGCATGACCCTCACCCAGGTACCACAACAACACAACAACAACACAACAACAACAACACAACAACAACACAACAACAACTCATGAAGAGCGGCATGACCCTCACCCAGGTACCACAACAACACAACAACAACACAACAACAACACAACAACACAACTCATGAAGAGCGGCATGACCCTCACCCAGGTACCACAACAACACAACAACAACACAACAACAACACATCACCACTACCACAACAACAACACAACAACAACACAGCTCATGAAGAGCGGCATGACCCTCACCCAGGTACCACAACAACACAACAACAACAACAACAACACAACACAACAACACAACAACACAACAACACAACAACACAACAACACCACAACAACAACAACTCATGAAGAGCGGCATGACCCTCACCCAGGTACACTCAGCCCAAACTCCACAACAACAACAACACAACAACAACACAACAACAACACAACAACAACAACAACAACAACAACACATAACAACAACAACAATAACAACAACTCATGAAGAGCGGCATGACCCTCACCCAGGTACACTCAGCCCAAACTCCAACACAACAACAACACAACAACAACACAACAACAACACAACAACAACTCATGAAGAGCGGCATGACCCTCACCCAGGTACACTCAGCCCAAACTCCACTACCACAACACAACAACAACAACACAACAACAACACAACAACAACAACACATAACAACAACAACAATAACAACAACTCATGAAGAGCGGCATGACCCTCACCCAGGTACACTCAGCCCAAACTCCAACACAACAACAACAACACATCACAACAACAACACAACAACAACTCATGAAGAGCGGCATGACCCTCACCCAGGTACACTCAGCCCAAACTCCAACACAACAACAACACAACAACACAACAACAACAACACAACAACACAGCTCATGAAGAGCGGCATGACCCTCACCCAGGTACACTCAGCCCAAACTCCAACACAACAACAACACAACAACACAACAACAACTACACACCACCACTACCACAACAACAACACATCACAACAACACAACACAACAACAACACAACAACTCATGAAGAGCGGCATGACCCTCACCCAGGTACACTCAGCCCAAACTCCAACACAACAACAACACAACAACAACAACACAACAACAACACAACAACAACACAACAACAACTCATGAAGAGCGGCATGACCCTCACCCAGGTACACTCAGCCCAAACTCCACTAACACAACAACACATCACCACTACCACAACAACAACACAACAACAACACAACAACAACAACACAACAACAACTCATGTAGAGCGGCATGACCCTCACCCAGGTACACTCAGCCCAAACTCCAACACAACAACAACACAACAACAACACAACAACAACAACTCATGAAGAGCGGCATGACCCTCACCCAGGTACACTCAGCCCAAACTCCACTACCACAACAACAACACAACAACAACACAACAACAACACAACAACACATCACCACTACCACAACAACAACACATCACAACAACACAACACAACAACAACACAACAACTCATGAAGAGCGGCATGACCCTCACCCAGGTACACTCAGCCCAAACTCCACAACAACAACACAACAACAACAACAACAACACACCACCACTACCACAACAACAACACATCACAACAACAACACAACAAAACAACAACAACAACACAACAACTCATGAAGAGCGGCATGACCCTCACCCAGGTACACTCAGCCCAAACTCCACAACAACAACACAACAACAACAACAACACACCACCACTACCACAACAACAACACATCACAACAACAACACAACAAAACAACAACAACAACACAACAACTCATGAAGAGCGGCATGACCCTCACCCAGGTACACTCAGCCCAAACTCCAACACAACAACAACAACACAACAACACAACAACAACTACACACCACCACTACCACAACAACAACACATCACAACAACACAACACAACAACAACACAACAACAACTCATGAAGAGCGGCATGACCCTCACCCAGGTACACTCAGCCCAAACTCCCAACACAACAACAACACAACAACAACAACACAACAACAACAACACAACAACACAGCTCATGAAGAGCGGCATGACCCTCACCCAGGTACACTCAGCCCAAACTCCAACACAACAACAACACAACAACAACTACAACAACAACACAACAACAACTCATGAAGAGCGGCATGACCCTCACCCAGGTACACTCAGCCCAAACTCCACAACAACAACAACACAACAACTCCACAACACATCACAACAACACTATCACAACAACAACACAACAACTCATGAAGAGCGGCATGACCCTCACCCAGGTACACTCAGCCCAAACTCCACAACAACACAACAACACATCACAACAACAACACAACAACAACACAACAACAACACATCACCACTAACACAACAACAACAACACAACAACACAACAACAACACAACACAACAACACAACAACAACACAACTCATGAAGAGCGGCATGACCCTCACCCAGGTACACTCAGCCCAAACTCCAACACAACAACAACACAACAACTCCACAACAACAACACACCAACACTACCACAACAACAACACTATCACAACAACAACACAACAACTCATGAAGAGCGGCATGACCCTCACCCAGGTACACTCAGCCCAAACTCCACTACCACAACAACACCACAACAACAACAACACCACAACAACAACAACACCACAACAACACAACAACAACACAACAACAACTCATGAAGAGCGGCATGACCCTCACCCAGGTACACTCAGCCCAAACTCCACTACCACAACAACAACAACACAACAACACAACACACCACCACTAACACAACAACAACACAACAACAACAACACAACAACAACAACAACACATCACAACAACTACACAACAACACACAACTCATGAAGAGCGGCATGACCCTCACCCAGGTACACTCAGCCCAAACTCCAACACAACAACAACACAACAACAACACAACAACAACACAACAACACAGCTCATGAAGAGCGGCATGACCCTCACCCAGGTACACTCAGCCCAAACTCCACTACCACAACAACAACAACACCACAACAACAACACCACAACAACAACAACACAACAACACCACAACAACACAACAACAACACCACAACAACACAACAACAACACAACAACACAACAACAACTCATGAAGAGCGGCATGACCCTCACCCAGGTACACTCAGCCCAAACTCCGCCACACAACAACACACCACAACAACAACTCCACCACAACAACAACTTCACCACAACAACTTCACCACACAACAACACAACAACAACTCCACCACACAACAACACAACAACAACTCTACCACCACAACAACTCCACCACCACAACAACTCTACCACATAACAACAACACACCACAACAACAACAACAACAACTCCACCACAACAACAACACACCACAACAACAACTCCACCACAACAATAACAACTCCGCCACACAACAACAACACACCACAACAACAACTCCACCACAACAACAACTTCACCACAACAACTTTACCACACAACAACATCACCACACAACAACAACAACTCTACCACATAACAACAACTCCACCACCACAACAACTCTACCACATAACAACATCACCACACAACAACAACTCTACCACACAACAACAACTCTACCACACAACAACAACAACGCTACCACATAACAACAACTCCACCACCACCACAACAACTCTACCACATAGCAACATCACCACACAACAACAACAACTCTACCACACAACAACAACTCTACCACCACAACAACTCCACCACAACAACTCCACCACCACAACAACTCTACCACATAACAACAACATCACCACACAACAACAACAACTCCACCACAACAACAACACACCACAACAACAACAACAACAACTCCACCACAACAACAACACACAACAACAACAACTCCACCACAACAACAACACACCACAACAACAACAACTCCACCACAACAACAACTCCACAACAACAACAACTACACCACAACAACAACTCCACCACAACAACTCCACCACAACAACAACTCTACCACAACAACAACACACCACAACAACACAACAACAACTCCACCACCACCACAACAACTCCACCACCAACTCTACCACGTAACAACATCACCACACAACAACAACAACTCCACCACACAACAACAACAACTCCACCACACAACAACAACACCTCCACCACACAACAACACCAACTCTACCACCACAACAACTCCACCACCACAACTCCACCACCACAACAACTCTACCACATAACAACAACATCACCACACAACAACAACAACAACACACCACAACAACAACAACAACTCCACCACAACAACAACTCTACCACAACAACAACACACCACAACAACACAACAACAACTCCACCACCACCACAACAACTCCACCACATAACAACATCACCACACAACAACAACTCCACCACCACCACCACAACAACTCCACCACATAACAACATCACCACACAACAACTCCACCACACAACAACAACAACAACAACAACAACTCCACCACACAACAACAACAACAACTCCACCACAACAACAACTCCACCACAACAACAACACACCACAACAACACAACAACTCCACCACCACCACAACAACTCCACCACCAACTCTACCACACAACAACATCACCACACAACAACAACTCTACCACACAACAACAACTCCACCACAACAACAACACACCACACAACAACAACTCCACCACAACAACAACAACTCCACCACAACAACAACTCCACCACAACAACAACAACTCCACCACAACAACAACATCACCACACAACAACAACTCTACCACACAACAACTCTACCACACAACAACTCTACCACACAACAACAACTCCACCAACCGTGCCTCTACCTCACCAACTTCCCCCTCCCCCTTGAGGGCCTAGCAAAACCACCCCCACCCACTCCTCCTCTACCTCCACCTCCTCCTCTACCTCCTCTTCCACCTCCTCCTGCACTTCCACCCCCTCCTCTACCTCCACCCCTCCGCCTCCTCCTCCACCTCCTCCACCTCTTCCACCCCCTCCTCTACCTCCACCTCCTCCACCTCTTCCACTTCCACCCCCTCCACTTTCACTTCCACCCCCTCCTCTACCTCCTCCTCCACTTCCCCCAAGTCTGCAGACACTAACCCCTCTCCCCCCGTGTCTCCCTGTGTCTCTGTCTCTCTCCCCGTGTCTCCATGTGTCTCTGTCTCTCTCCCCGTGTCTCTCTCCCTGTGTCTCCCTGTGTCTCTGTCTCTCTCCCTGTCTCTCTCCCTGTCTCTCTCCCTGTCTCTCTCCCTGTCTCTCTCCCTGTGTGACTCCCTGTGTCTCCCTCCTTCCCCCCTCTCTCCCTGTGTCTCTGTCTCTCTCCCTGTCTCTCTCCCTGTCTCTCTCCCTGTCTCTCTCCCTGTCTCTCTCCCTGTCTCTCTCCCTGTCTCTCTCCCTGTCTCTCTCCCTGTCTCTCTCCCTGTCTCTCTCCCTGTCTCTCTCCCTGTGTCTCCCTGTGTCTCTGTCTCTCTCCCTGTCTCCCTGTCTCTCTCCCTGTGTCTCCCTGTGTCTCTGTCTCTCTCCCTGTCTCTCTCCCTGTCTCTCTCCCTGTCTCTCTCCCTGTCTCTCTCCCTGTCTCTCTCCCTGTCTCTCTCCCTGTCTCTCTCCCTGTCTCTCTCCCTGTCTCTCTCCCTGTCTCTCTCCCTGTCTCTCTGTCTCTCTCCCTGTCTCTCTGTCTCTCTCCCTGTGTCTCTGTCTCTCTCCCTGTGTCTCTGTCTCTCTCCCTGTGTCTCTCTCCCTGTGTCTCTGTCTCTCTCCCTGTGTCTCTCTCCCTGTGTCTCTGTCTCTCTCCCTGTGTCTCTCTCCCTGTGTCTCTCTCCCTGTGTCTCTCTCCCTGTGTCTCTCTCCCTGTGTCTCTCTCCCTGTGTCTCTCCCTGTGTCTCTCCCCCTCTCTCCCCGTGTCTCTCTCCCTCTCTCTCCCCCTCCACCTCTCTCTCACCCCACGTCTCCCCTTCTCTCCCACCACCACCACCACCACCACCCACCACCCACCCCCCATGTAGATGTACACGTCGTACGTGGAGGTGTCCGACGCCCTCCTCGCCCAGCGCGAGGAGACGCGCCGGGCGACGTCGCACCTGGACGAGATCCTGCGGGAGATGCAGGCGCGGGCTCCGGCCCTGCAGCAGCAGCGACGGGACCACGATGCCGCCGTAGCCTCGGTGGCAGCGCTCACCGCCAAGCTGGGACGTGCCACCGCCGTGCGTGTGGTGGGGGGGGGGGTGGTGGGGGGGAGAGGTGGGGGGAGGTGGGGAGGTGGGGGGAGGTGGGGAGGGGTCCCACCATAGCCCTGAGTGGCTTTGTCTGTGGTGGTGGTAGTGGTGTGGTGTGTGGTGTGGTGTTGTACGTAGACACCGCTAACAGCGCTTGCCTCTACAGGCCTGCTAGAGGCTACCTGGGGTAGCTTTGTCTGTGGTGTGTGGTGTGTGTAGTACGTAGACACTGCTGCTGCTACTTGCTAGCTAACAGCACTTGCCCCTACAGCCCTGCTAGAGGCTACCTGGGGGAGCTTTGTCTGTGTGGTGGTGGTGTGTGTTGTACATAGACACTGCTGCTGCTACTCGCTACTAACAGCACTTGCTCCTACAGCCTTGCTAGAGGCTACCTGGGGTAGCTTTGTCTGTGTGTGTGGTGTGGTGTGGTGTAGTACGTAGACACCGCTAACAGCGCTTGCCCCTACAGGCCTGCTAGAGGCTACCTCAGGGAGCTTTGTCTGTGGTGTGGTGGTGGGTGTTGTACGTAGACACCGCTAACAGCGCTTGCCTCTACAGGCCTGCTAGAGGCTACCTGGGGGAGCTTTGTCTGTGTGGTGGTGGTGTGTGTTGTACGTAGACACCGCTAACAGCACTTACCGCTACAGCCCTGCTAGAGGCTACCTGGGGTAGCTTTGTCTGTGTGGTGGTGGTGTGTGTTGTACATAGACACTGCTGCTGCTACTCGCTAGCTAACAGCACTTGCCCCTACAGCCTTGCTAGAGGCTACCTGGGGGAGCTTTGTCTGTGGTGTGGTGGTGTGTGTAGTACGTAGACACCACTAACAGCACTTGCCCCTACAGGCCTGCTAGAGGCTACCTCGGGGAGCTTTGTCTGTGTGTGTGTAGTACGTAGACACCGCTAACAGCACTTGCCCCTACAGCCCTGCTAGAGGCTACCTGGGGTAGCTTTGTCTGTGTGTGTGGTGTGTGTAGTACGTAGACACCGCTAACAGCACTTGCCCCTACAGGCCTGCTAGAGGCTACCTGGGGGAGCTTTGTCTGTGTGGTGGTGGTGTGTGTTGTACATAGACACTGCTGCTGCTACTCGCTAGCTAACAGCACTTGCCCCTACAGGCCTGCTAGAGGCTACCTGGGGGAGCTTTGTCTGTGGTGTGTGGTGTGTGTAGTACATAGACACTGCTGCTGCTACTCGCTAGCTAACAGCACTTGCCCCTACAGCCCTGCTAGAGGCTACCTGGAGGAACTTTGCCTGTGTGTGGTGTGTGTAGTACATAGACACTGCTGCTGCTACTCGCTACTAACAGCACTTGCTCCTACAGCCTTGCTAGAGGCTACCTGGGGGAGCTTTGTCTGTGGTGTGTGTTGTAGTACGTAGACACCGCTAACAGCGCTTGCCCCTACAGGCCTGCTAGAGGCTACCTGGGGGAGCTTTGTCTGTGGTGTGGTGTAGTACGTAGACACCGCTCATAGTACTTGCCCCTACAGGCCTGCTAGAGGCTACCTGGGGGAGCTTTGTCTGTGTGGTGGTGGTGTGTGTTGTACATAGACACTGCTGCTGCTACTCGCTACTAACACCACTTACCCCTACAGCCCTGCTAGAGGCTACCTGGGGGAGCTTTGTCTGTGTGGTGTGTGTAGTATGTAGACACCGCTAACAGCGCTTGCCCCTACAGGCCTGCTAGAGGCTACCTGGGGTAGCTTTGTCTGTGTGTGTGATGTGGTGTTGTACGTAGACACCACTAACAGCGCTTGCCTCTACAGGCCTGCTAGAGGCTACCTGGGGGAGCTTTGTCTGTGTGGTGGTGGTGTGTGTTGTACATAGACACTGCTGCTGCTACTCGCTACTAACACCACTTACCCCTACAGCCCTGCTAGAGGCTACCTGGGGGAGCTTTGTCTGTGTGGTGTGTGTAGTATGTAGACACCGCTAACAGCGCTTGCCCCTACAGGCCTGCTAGAGGCTACCTGGGGTAGCTTTGTCTGTGTGTGTGATGTGGTGTTGTACGTAGACACCGCTAACAGCGCTTGCCTCTACAGGCCTGCTAGAGGCTACCTGGGGGAGCTTTGTCTGTGGTGTGGTGTGTGTAGTACGTAGACACCGCTAACAGCACTTGCCTCTACAGGCCTGCTAGAGGCTACCTCGGGGAGCTTTGTCTGTGTGTGTGGTGTGTGTAGTACGTAGACACCGCTAACAGCACTTGCCCCTACAGCCCTGCTAGAGGCTACCTGGGGGTAGCTTTGTCTGTGTGTGTGTTGTGTGTAGTACATAGACACTGCTGCTGCTACTTGCTAGCTAACAGCACTTGCCCCTACAGCCCTGCTAGAGGCTACCTGGGGTGGCAGCTGTCACCTGCACCTTTACCTTTGCACAGGACATGGAGCTGATGCAAGCGGAGATGGAGGAGTGCCGGAAGGAGGCTGGGCGCCTCAAGCGGGACAACCAGAGGCTCCAGTCGCAGGCCGCAGACCTGGGGGCACAGGTAGCGTGGGGGGGACCTGGGTGGTGTGGCTGCACCACGTGGTGTGGCTGAGCCACGTGGTGTGGCTGAGCCACGTGGTGTGGCTATAACCACGTGGTGTGGCTATAACCACGTGGTGTGTGTGTTTGACCCTTGGTGGTGTGGGTGACCTCTGGTGGTGTGGGTGACCCCTGGTGGTGTGGCTGAACCACGTGGTGTGGCTGCACCACGTGGTGTGGCTGAACCACGTGGTGTGTGTGTGTGTTTGACCCCTGGTGGTGTGGGTGACCCCTGGTGGTGTGGGTGACCCCTGGTGGTGTGGATGGATCCACGTGGTGTGGCTGGACCACGTGGTGTGGCTATAACCACGTGGTGTGTGTGTGTTTGACCCCTGGTGGTGTGGGTGACCTCTGGTGGTGTGGGTGACCCCTGGTGGTGTGGGTGACCCCTGGTGGTGTGGCTGGACCACGTGGTGTGGCTGGACCACGTGGTGTGGCTGAACCACGTGGTGTGGCTGAACCACGTGGTGTGGCTGAACGACGTGGTGTGTGTGTGTGTTTGACCCCTGGTAGTGTGGGTAACCCCTGGTGGTGTGGGTGACCTCTGGTGGTGTGGGTGACCCCTGGTGGTGTAGGTAACCCCTGGTGGTGTGGGTGACCCCTGGTGGTGTGGGTGACCCCTGGTGGGGTGGCTGAACCACGTGGTGTGTTTGAACCCTGGTGATGTGGCTGACCCAGGTGGTGTGGCAGACCCTGCTGGTGTGTCTGAACCCCTTGTGGTGCGGCCGACCCATGTGGTGCGGCTGCCCCATGTGGTGCGGCTGCCCCATGTGGTGCGGCTGACCATGTGGTGCGGCTGAACCCTGGTGGTGTGGTTGAACCACGTGGTGTGGCTGACCCACGTGGTGTGGCTTGATCTGTAGTGTGGCTGACCACGTGGTTTGGCTGAACCCTGGTGTTGTGGCTGTCTGCTGTTGTGGCTGTATGCTGTTGTGGCTGTCTGCTGTTGTGGCTGTCTGCTGTTGTGGCTGTCTGCTGTTGTGGCTGTGTCTGCTGTTGTGGTTGTGTCTGGTGTTGTGGCTGTGTCTGGTGGTGTGGCTGTGTCTGCTGTTGTGGCAGTGCCTGCTGTTGTGGCTGCGTCTGCTGTTGTGGCTGTGTCTGGTGGTGTGGCTGTGTCTGCTGTTGTGGTTGTGTCTGCTGTTGTGGTTGTGTCTGCTGTTGTGGCTGTGTCTGCTGTTGTGGCTGTGTCTGGTGTTGTGGCTGGGTCTGTTGTTGTGGCTGGGTCTGGTGTTGTGGCTGGGTCTGGTGTTGTGGCTGGGTCTGGTGTTGTGGCTGTGTCTGCTGTTGTGGCTGTGTCTGCTGTTCTGGCTGTGTCTGCTGGTGTGGCTGTGTCTGGTGGTGTGGCTGTATCTGCTGTTGTGGCTGTGTCTGCTGTTGTGGCTGCGTCTGCTGTTGTGGCTGCGTCTGCTGTTGTGGCTGTCTGCTGTTGTGGCTGAACCACGTGGTGTTGTGGCTATCCCACGTGGTGTTGTGGCTGAACCACGTGGTGTTGTGGCTGAACCACGTGGTGCGGCTGACCCACGTGGTGGTGTGGCTGACCCACGTGGTGGTGCGGCTGACCCACGTGGTGGTGTGGCTGAACCACGTGGTGTGGCTGCACACGTGGTGTTGTGGCTGGACCACGTGGTGTTGTGGCTGAACCACGTGGTGTGGCTGCACACGTGGTGTTGTGGCTGAACCACGTGGTGTTGTGGCCGCTGTGTCCCCAGGTGTGCCTGCTGTTGTGGCTGTGCCTGCTGTTGTGGCTGAACCACGTGGTGTGGCTGAACCACGTGGTGTGGCTGAACCACGTGGTGTGGCTGAACCACGTGGTGTGGCTGAACCACGTGGTGGTGTGGCTGACCACGTGGTGTTGTGGCTGCCCACGTGGTGTTGTGGCCGCTGTGTGTCCCCAGGTGTGCCTGCTGTTGTGGCTGAATCCACGTGTTGTTGTGGCCGACCACGTGGTGTTGTGGCCGACCACGTGGTGTTGTGGCCGACCACGTGGTGTTGTGGCCGACCACGTGGTGTTGTGGCCGACCACGTGGTGTTGTGGCCGACCACGTGGTGTTGTGGCCGGACACGTGGTGTTGTGGCCGACCACGTGGTGTTGTGGCCGGACACGTGGTGTTGTGGCCGGTCACGTGGTGTTGTGGCCGGACACGTGGTGTTGTGGCCGGACACGTGGTGTTGTGGCCGGACACCTGGTGTTGTGGCTGACCCACGTGGTGTTGTGGCTGACCACGTGCTGTTGTGGCTGACCACGTGCTGTTGTGGCCGCTGTGTCCCCAGGTGTGCCTGCTGTTGTGGCTGTGCCTGCTGTTGTGGCTGACCCACGTGGTGTTGTGGCTGACCACGTGGTGTTGTGGCTGAACCCCGTGGTGTTGTGGCTGACCACGTGGTGTTGTGGCTGACCCACGTGGTGTTGTGGCTGACCACGTGGTGTTGTGGCCGCTGTGTCCCCAGGTGTGCCTGCTGCTGCAGCAGATTGAGCGTGAGCGGGGTAACCCAGTGAGGGACCATCTGGAGGAGAGCTCCTCACAGGTGGGTGGTGGTGGGTGGGTGGTGGGTGGGTAGTGGGTGGGTAGTGGGTGGGTGGTGGGTGGGTAGTGGGTTGGTGGGTGGTGTGGTAGTGGGTGGGTAGTGGGTGGGTGGTGGGTGGGTAGTGGGTGGGTAGTGGGTGGGTAGTGGGTGGGTGGGGGTAGGTGTGTGTGGGTGGGTAGTGGGTGGGTGAGTGGGGGTGGGTGTGGGTGGGTAGTGTGTGTAGTGTGTGTGTGGGTAGTGTGTGTAGTGTGTGTGTGGGTAGTGTGTGTAGTGTGTGTGTGGGTAGTGTGTGTAGTGTGTGTGTGGGTAGTGTGTGTAGTGTGTGTGTGGGTAGTGTGGGTAGTGTGTGTAGTGTGTGTGTGGGTAGTGTGTGTGTGGGTAGTGTGTGTAGTGTGTGTAGTGTGTATGTGGGTAGTGTGTGTAGTGTGTGTGTATGTAGTGTGGGTAGTGTGTGTAGTGTGTGTGTATGTAGTGTGGGTAGTGTGTGTAGTGTGTGTGTATGTAGTGTGGGTAGTGTGTGTGTATGTAGTGTGGGTAGTGTGTGTAGTGTGTGTGTATGTAGTGTGGGTAGTGTGTGTGTAGTGTGTGTGTATGTAGTGTGGGTAGTGTGTGTGTAGTGTGTGTGTATGTAGTGTGGGTAGTGTGTGTGTAGTGTGTGTGTATGTAGTGTGGGTAGTGTGTGTAGTGTGTGTGTATGTAGTGTGGGTAGTGTGTGTGTAGTGTGTGTGTATGTAGTGTGGGTAGTGTGTGTGTAGTGTGTGTGTATGTAGTGTGGGTAGTGTGTGTAGTGTGTGTGTATGTAGTGTGGGTAGTGTGTGGGTAGTGTGTGTAGTGTGTGTGTGGGTAGTGTGTGTAGTGTGTGTGTGGGTAGTGTGTGTAGTGTGTGTGTATGTAGTGTGGGTAGTGTGTGTAGTGTGTGTGTATGTAGTGTGGGTAGTGTGTGTGTATGTAGTGTGGGTAGTGTGTGTAGTGTGTGTGTATGTAGTGTGGGTTGTGTGTGTGTAGTGTGTGTGTATGTAGTGTGGGTAGTGTGTGTGTAGTGTGTGTGTATGTAGTGTGGGTAGTGTGTGTGTAGTGTGTGTGTATGTAGTGTGGGTAGTGTGTGTGTAGTGTGTGTGTATGTAGTGTGGGTAGTGTGTGTGTATGTAGTGTGGGTAGTGTGTGTAGTGTGTGTGTATGTAGTGTGGGTAGTGTGTGTGTATGTAGTGTGGGTAGTGTGTGTGTATGTAGTGTGGGTAGTGTGTGTAGTGTGTGTGTATGTAGTGTGGGTAGTGTGTGTGTAGTGTGTGTGTATGTAGTGTGGGTAGTGTGTATGTAGTGTGTGTGTATGTAGTGTGGGTAGTGTGTGTATGTAGTGTGTGTAGTGTGTGTGTATGTAGTGTGGGTAGTGTGTGTGTAGTGTGTGTGTATGTAGTGTGGGTAGTGTGTGTGTAGTGTGTGTGTATGTAGTGTGGGTAGTGTGTGTGTAGTGTGTGTGTATGTAGTGTGGGTAGTGTGTGTGTATGTAGTGTGGGTAGTGTGTGTGTATGTAGTGTGGGTAGTGTGTGTGTATGTAGTGTGGGTAGTGTGTGTGTAGTGTGTGTGTATGTAGTGTGGGTAGTGTGTGTGTAGTGTGTGTGTGTATGTAGTGTGGGTAGTGTGTGTAGTGTGTGTGTATGTAGTGTGGGTAGTGTGTGTGTAGTGTGTGTGTATGTAGTGTGGGTAGTGTGTCTGTAGTGTGGGTAGTGTGTGTGTGGGTAGTGTGTATGTAGTGTGGGTAGTGTGTGTGTGGGTAGTGTGTGTAGTGTGTGTGTATGTAGTGTGGGTAGTGTGTGTAGTGTGTGTGTATGTAGTGTGGGTAGTGTGTGTAGTGTGTGTATGTAGTGTGGGTAGTGTGTATGTAGTGTGTGTGTATGTAGTGTGGGTAGTGTGTGTAGTGTGTGTGTATGTAGTGTGGGTAGTGTGTGTGTATGTAGTGTGGGTAGTGTGTGTAGTGTGTGTGTATGTAGTGTGGGTAGTGTGTGTAGTGTGTGTGTATGTAGTGTGGGTAGTGTGTGTAGTGTGTGTGTATGTAGTGTGGGTAGTGTGTGTGTAGTGTGTGTGTATGTAGTTTGGGTAGTGTGTATGTAGTGTGTGTGTAGGTAGTGTAGTGTGTGTAGTGTGTGTGTATGTAGTGTGGGTAGTGTGTGTGCAGTGTGTGTGTATGTAGTGTGGGTAGTGTGTATGTAGTGTGGGTAGTGTGTGTGTAGTGTGTGTGTAGTGTGTGTGTGTAGTGTGTGTGTAGTGTGGGTAGTGTATATGTAGTGTGGGTAGTGTGTGTGTGGGTAGTGTGTATGTAGTGTGGGTAGTGTGTGTGTGGGTAGTGTGTATGTAGTGTGGGTAGTGTGTGTGTGGGTAGTGTGTATGTAGTGTGGGTAGTGTGTGTGTAGTGTGTGTGTGTATGTAGTGTGGGTAGTGTGTGTGGGTAGTGTGTGTGTATGTAGTGTGGGTAGTGTGTGTGGGTAGTGTGTGTGTATGTAGTGTGGGTAGTGTGTGTGTATGTAGTGTGGGTAGTGTGTGTGTGGGTAGTGTGTATGTAGTGTGGGTAGTGTGTGTGTAGTGTGTGTGTATGTAGTGTGGGTAGTGTGTGTGTAGTGTGTGTGTATGTAGTGTGGGTAGTGTGTATGTAGTGTGGGTAGTGTGTATGTAGTGTGTGTGTATGTAGTGTGCGTAGTGTGTGTGTAGTGTGTGTGTATGTAGTGTGGGTAGTGTGTGTAGTGTGTGTGTATGTAGTGTGGGTAGTGTGTGTAGTGTGTGTGTATGTAGTGTGGGTAGTGTGTGTAGTGTGTGTGTATGTAGTGTGGGTAGTGTGTGTGTAGTGTGTGTGTATGTAGTGTGGGTAGTGTGTATGTAGTGTGTGTGTATGTAGTGTGGGTAGTGTGTGTAGTGTGGGTAGTGTGTGTAGTGTGTGTGTGTATGTAGTGTGGGTAGTGTGTGTGTAGTGTGTGTGTATGTAGTGTGGGTAGTGTGTATGTAGTGTGGGTAGTGTGTGTGTGGGTAGTGTGTATGTAGTGTGGGTAGTGTGTGTGTGGGTAGTGTGTGTGTATGTAGTGTGGGTAGTGTGTGTAGTGTGTGTGTATGTAGTGTGGGTAGTGTGTATGTAGTGTGTGTGTATGTAGTGTGGGTAGTGTGTATGTAGTGTGTGTGTATGTAGTGTGGGTAGTGTGTGTGTAGTGTGTGTGTATGTAGTGTGGGTAGTGTGTGTGTAGTGTGTGTAGTGTGTGTGTAGTGTGTGTGTGTGTGTGTAGTGTGTAGGTGTGTAGTGTGTGTAGTGTGTGTGTGTGTAGTGTGTGTGTGTAGTGTGTGTGTGTGTAGTGTGTGTGTGTAGTGTGTGTGTGTAGTGCGTGTGTGTAGTGTGTGTGTGTAGTGTGTGTGTGTAGTGTGTGTGTGTAGTGTGTGTGTGTAGTGTGTGTGTGTAGTGTGTGTGTGTCGTGTGTGTGTGTAGTGTGTGTGTGTGTAGTGTGTGTGTGTGTAGTGTGTGTGTGGGTAGTGTGTGTGTGTGTGTAGTGTGTGTGTGACCGTGTCTGTCACGTCTCACCCTGGTCTACCCCTCCCCCCCGCCTCACCCCCTCACCCCTCACCCCCCTCACCAGGTGAGTAGCTCTGGTGAGGTGATTGCATCCCGCCTGCTCACCTTCCGTGTCTCTCACCGTGTCTCTCACCGTGTCACTGTGTCTCTCACCGTGTCTCTCACCATGTCACCGTGTCTCTCACCGTGTCTCTCACCATGTCACCGTGTCTCTCACCGTGTCTCTCACCATGTCACCGTGTCTCTCACCGTGTCTCTCACCATGTCACCGTGTCTCTCACCGTGTCTCTCACCGTGTCTCTCACCATGTCACCGTGTCTCTCACCGTGTCTTCTCACCCATGTCACCGTGTCTCTCACCGTGTCTCTCACCATGTCACCGTGTCCTCTCACCGTGTCTCTCATCGTGTCTCTCACCATGTCACCGTGTCACTCACCGTGTCTCTCACCATGTCACCGTGTCTCTCACCGTGTCTCTCACCGTGTCTCTCACCGTGTCTCTCACCATGTCACCGTGTCTCTCACCGTGTCTCTCACCGTGTCTCTCACCATGTCACCGTGTCTCTCACCATGTCACCGTGTCTCTCACCATGTCACCGTGTCTCTCACCGTGTCTCTCACCATGTCACCGTGTCTCTCACCGTGTCTCTCACCATGTCACCGTGTCTCTCACCGTGTCTCTCACCATGTCACCGTGTCTCTCACCGTGTCTCTCACCATGTCACCGGTCTCTCACCGTGTCTCTCACCATGTCACCGTGTCTCTCACCGTGTCTCTCCACCATGTCACCCGTGTCTCTCACCGTGTCTCTCACCATGTCACCGTGACTCTCACCGTGTCTCTCACCATGTCACCGTGTCTCTCACCATGTCACCGTGTCTCTCCCGTGTCTCTCACCGTGGCTCTCACCGTGTCTCTCACCATGTCACCGTTGTCTCTCACCATGTCACCGTGTCTCTCACCGTGTCTCTCACCGTGTCTCTCACAGTGTCTCTCACCATGTCACCGTGTCTCTCACCATGTCACCGTGGTCTCTCACCGGTTCTCTCACCGTGTCTCTCACCGTGGTATCTCACCATGTCACCGTGTCTCTCACCGTGTCTCTCACCATGTCACCGTGTCTCTCACCGTGTCTCTCACCGTGTCTCTCACCGTGTCTCTCACCATGTCACCGTGTCTCTCACCGTGTCTCTCACCATGTCACCGTGTCTCTCACCGTGTCTCTCACCATGTCACCGTGTCTCTCACCGTGTCTCTCACCATGTCACCGTGTCTCTCACCGTGTCTCTCACCATGTCACCGTGTCTCTCACCGTGTCTCTCACCATGTCACCGTGTCTCTCACCGTGTCTCTCACCGTGTCACCGTGTCTCTCACCATGTCACCGTGTCTCTCACCGTGTCTCTCACCGTGTCTCTCACCATGTCACCGTGTCTCTCACCGTGTCTCTCACCATGTCACCGTGTCTCTCACCGTGTCTCTCACCATGTCACCGTGTCTCTCACCGTGTCTCTCACCATGTCCGGTCTCCTCACCGTGTCTCTCACCATGTCACGTGTCTCTCACCGTGTCTCTCACCATGTCACCGTGTCTCTCACCATGTCTCTCACCATGTCACCGTGTCTCTCACCGTGTCTCTCACCGTGGCTCTCACCGTGTCTCTCACCATGTCACCGTGTCTCTCACCATGTCACCGTGTCTCTCACCGTGTCTCTCACCGTGTCTCTCACCATGTCACCGTGTCTCTCACCATGTCACCGTGTCTCTCACCGTGTCTCTCACCGTGTCTCTCACCATGTCACCGTGTCTCTCACCATGTCACCGTGTCTCTCACCGTGTCTCTCACCATGTCACCGTGTCTCTCACCATGTCACCGTGTCTCTCACCGTGTCTCTCACCGTGTCTCTCACCGTGTCTCTCACCATGTCTCTCACCATGTCACCGTGTCTCTCACCGTGTCTCTCACCGTGTCTCTCACCGTGTCTCTCACCGTGTCTCTCACCGTGTCTCTCACCATGTCACCGTGTCTCTCACCATGTCTCTCACCATGTCACCGTGTCTCTCACCATGTCACCGTGTCTCTCACCGTGTCTCTCACCATGTCACCGTGTCTCTCACCGTGTCTCTCACCATGTCACCGTGTCTCTCACCGTGTCTCTCACCATGTCACCGTGTCTCTCACCGTGTCTCTCACCATGTCACCGTGTCTCTCACCGTGTCTCTCACCCTGTCACCGTGTCTCTCACCGTGTCTCTCACCATGTCACCGTGTCTCTCACCGTGTCTCTCACGTGTCTCTCACCGTGGCTCTCACCGTGTCTCTCACCATGTCACCGTGTCTCTCACCATGTCACCGTGTCTCTCACCGTGTCTCTCACCGTGTCTCTCACCGTGTCTCTCACCATGTCACCGTGTCTCTCACCATGTCACCGTGTCTCTCACCGTGTCTCTCACCATGTCTCTCACCGTGTCTCTCACCGTGTCTCTCACCATGTCACCGTGTCTCTCACCGTGTCTCTCACCATGTCACCGTGTCTCTCACCGTGTCTCTCACCGTGTCTCTCACCGTGTCTCTCACCATGTCACCGTGTCTCTCACCGTGTCTCTCACCATGTCACCGTGTCTCTCACCGTGTCTCTCAACCATGTCACCGTGTCTCTCACCGTGTCTCTCACCATGTCACCGTGTCTCTCACCGTGTCTCTCACCATGTCACGTGTCTCTCACCGTGTCACCGTGTCTCTCACCGTGTCTCTCACCGTGTCTCTCACCATGTCACCGTGTCTCTCACCGTGTCTCTCACCATGTCACCGTGTCTCTCACCGTGTCTCTCACCATGTCACCGTGTCTCTCACCGTGTCTCTCACCATGTCACCGTGTCTCTCCCGTGTCTCTCACCATGTCACCGTGTCTCTCACCGTGTCTCTCACCATGTCACCGTGTCTTCACCGTGTCTCTCACCATGTCACCGTGTCTCTCACCGTGTCTCTCACCATGTCACGTGTCTCTCACGTGTCTCTCACCATGTCACCGTGTCTCTCACCGTGTCTCTCACCGTGTCTCTCACCGTGGCTCTCACCGTGTCTCTCACCGTGTCTCTCACCGTGGCTCTCACCGTGTCTCTCACCGTGTCTCTCACCATGTCACCGTGTCTCTCACCGTGTCTCTCACCATGTCACCGTGTCTCTCACCATGTCACCGTGTCTCTCACCGTGTCTCTCACCGTGTCTCTCACCATGTCTCTCACCATGCACCGTGTCTCTCACCATGTCAGTGTCTCTCACAGGGTCTCTCACCATGTCACCGTGTCTTCACCGTGTCTCTCACCGTGTCTCTCACCATGTCTCTCACCATGTCACCGTGTCTCTCACCATGTCACCGGTCTCTCACCGTGTCTCTCACCATGTCACCGTGTCTCTCACCGTGTCTCTCACCGTGTCTCTCACGTGTCTCTCACCGTGTTCTCTCACCATGTCACCGTGTCTCTCACCGGTCTCTCACCATGTCACCGTGTCTCTCACCGTGTCTCTCACCGTGTCTCTCACCATGTCACCGTGTCTCTCACCGTGTCTCTCACCATGTCACCGTGTCTCTCACCGTGTCTCTCACCCCTCACCCCTCACCCCTCACCAGGTGAGTAGCTCTGGTGAGGTGATTGCATCCCGCCTGCTCACCTTCCGTGTCTCTCACCGTGTCTCTCACCATGTCACCGTGTCTCTCACCGTGTCTCTCACATGTCACCGTGTCTCTCACCATGTCACCGTGTCTTCCACATGTCACCGTGTCTCTCACCATGTCACCGGTCTCTCACCGGTCTCTCACCATGTCACCGTGTCTCTCACCGGTCTCTCACCATGTCACCGTGTCTCTCACCATATGTCTCTCACCATGTCACCGTGTCTCTCACCATGTCTCTCACCATGTCTACTCGTGTCTCTCACCGTGTCTCTCACCATGTCACCGTGTCTCTCACCGTGTCTCTCACCATGTCACCGTGTCT